GGTGTGTATTTGTATGTGTATTATTTCAAATCACCCACACATGAGTGCGTGAGAGTAAAAATCTAAAAATAGAATTAATTAATTTACTACGATTGGCTACAAGTTTTTACTCTTATGCTTGCTATTTTGAGAATTTACGGTACATGGTCTTGTATTAGCACTGTTGCATTAATTTTTTGCAATGAGTAATCTTTTAATTATTGTATTGAATTTACGCATTGATTATTTTTCAATTGAAAAATAAAGTAATTTTTTAATTATTGCATTGAATTCACGCATTGATTATTTTTCAATTGAAAAATAAAGTAATTATGATAATTATTGTGTAATTATATAATGACTGCTGTTATACTAATGATGACAAAAAAAGATTCATATTAGTTATGCGTATTAAAAAAAATTTTTTTAAATGTATTAAAAAAAAATTTTTTTTTAATATTTGGTGAAATTTTAGTTAAGCAATATAAGAATTCAAATGTTTTCATCCTCTATACTCTTCGTACTTCCTTAAAGTCACTTCAAAATATCCTTTTCGATAAATAAAATTGCATCAACTTTTTATTTGACAATGATATTTTGTATAAACTTGAAAAATGCAAATATTGTAATTTTATACTATATTGAAAAAGACAACTTTTTAGATTTGCCAACAGATCATGTCGCAAATCTATATCAATTCTTAAAGATTCTTTTTTTGCTTATAATTATCTTAAATGTTCGGATATACTTCTAATAGATTATCTGTGGCTCTGCAAATCTACTTATACTTCCATTCATAATATGACAGGTAAATTAATATTACTTGAGTACTCGGTTATCTGGGTATATAATCTATTATATAAACTAAATTTATATGGATAAATTTATAATTAACAGGTTGTTTACCAAATACGGTTACAAATTACATAAGCCTTTTTAGGCAATTAATAATTAGTATATTAGAAGATGATATGAATATGATTAGTGGTGAAGATGTGATCGTCAAAATCGATGAGTCAAAATTTGGTAAAAGGAAAAATCACTAGAGACATAAAGTGGAAGAAGTATGATAGTTAGCGAGATTAGACGAACAAGTAAAAAAAATATTTTGTTGAAGTAGTAACTAATAGAACCTCAGACACATTGCTTGATGTATTGTCAAGAAATGTGATAGCTAGTTCTATTGTACATACAGATTTGTGGAAAGGTTATCAAGAACTTGATGAAGAGTTGGGTGTAACACATCGAATTGTAAATCATTCCCAAAATTTTGTGAACCTTGAAACAGGTGTTTATACCAACACTATCGAGAGGCTATAGAATAGAATAAAAATACAAGTACCTCTATGTAATAGAAATAAAAGTTCTATTGAGAAGCACTTATTTGAGTTTATCTGGTAAAAGAAAAGTAACAATAATTTGTAGAACAACTTTCTCCATGCTCTTAAGACAATTGGATACTTCGATGATGATAATGGTCAACAACAATTTTTTTCTGTTTGTGCAAATACCTTTATAAGAATTTGATGGTCCCATAATTTTTATCCAATCTAATTGTAAGATCAATGTGTAATATACAAATGCAAAGTAAAAATTAAAGGCAAAAAAAAAAATAAGAAACCACAACAAACTCATAAATTCACAAGAAAAATTAATCTTTTGTTATTAAACAAAAGTTTTTAGTACAAAAATTGATATATTCTTTCTACTTTGTATTAATGCAAACATTAATTTTTAGATGAAAACTTAAAGATATTGTTTTTTAATTAGTCATAGAACTGCCAAATTTTTGCACTATTACTATTTCACTCAAAGATTGTGATAAAATTATTGTTTATATTTGGTACAATTATGTCATGCAAAAGAAATTTTTATATGTAAATGTTTTCTATTTTTTGTGCAATTTGCATTGCCCATTAGCAAATAACACGAATTTTTAACACTGGTCACAATTAGTTACAATTAGATATTTATTAACCATATCAATATTATTAAAAAGTGAATTTGTGATAACTGGGTCTTATAGCTAAAACATAATTTAAAATAAAACTATTCGAACAAAAGCATGTATATTTGAATTGAAAACAAAAGAATCTTCTGACAATTATTATTAGGTAGTCTTTCAATTAATCAATTCCTCTGCTATTATGATGTATTCGTTTTAAAATATTTAATTGGCTAAAAAAAATAGTGCAAAACTAAAAAATATAAAATATGTTGTCAATTCAATTTTTGATCTAGCAGATATTATTAATAATTTATTATAGAAGTGCTGGTGGCATTCTACTTTTGCTTGTAATATATAATATAAACCTAAAAATTTATTCATGATATCTCAACATAATAAATAACATAAATTAATATTAGTCATTTTTTGTTTATATAAACAAAAAACAACTTAGATTAGACTAATATAGTCTCAGGTATGATGAGCATTTTGCATTTGCATCGTCATTCGAGTGACGAATAATTTGCACTTGCATCATCAGAGATATATTAGTATTCACTCCATCATTTGAGTGATGAACGATTCGCGCTTGCGTCATCAGAGATATATTAGTATTCACTCCATCATTCGAGTAATGAATGATTCGTGCTTGCATCGTCATTCGAGAGATGACGAATTTGAGTTTACATCATTATTCAAGTGGTATTCCCTGATTTAGGTTATGCTCAAGTGACGATTAGTTTACAAATTTGTCATCATGTGTCGTGATGCAGAAATGCGATACCATTATCAATTAATGCTACCAAATATGTATACTATATGCAAAGTATCCTACTTTGTAGAGTATATCATGTAAATGCTATTGATAATACTACTATGTATGTTATCAAAGTGTTATCCAGTTATACTATCAAAATGTAATCGCTTATGTTCACTATCCTAGAATGCGTTCAATATATGCTATCTGTCACTGAAAAATCTTTGGTAATCGGTGACAACTTTGGTAACAGGTTTATTATTAAATTTAAGTTTTAAATTCTTTTTTATCTTGTTCTTATATACTGTCACCAAAGTCACTAAAAATAAAGTAAAATTCTAAGAAAAAATAAAACTTTACCTTATGGTACACTATAAGTGTATGATATATATAATATATATATATAATATACTTATAATATAAAAAAAGAAAAAAAAGTTGGAGAAGTTCGATTTTTTTTGGTGACTTTGGTGACAGATATCTAGAAAGCTTTCTAAAAGTACAAAAACGTAAAATTCAATAAAAATTCTGTCACTAAAAATTTTTCTCAGCATCACCAATAAATTTTTTGGTGACAGCTATACGTATTAAGATAATGCATATATATCCACTAAGTATTTTCTTTCATCTCAGCACTACCTTACGCCATCTTCTCCAGCTTTTTCTGCTGATAGTAGGCTTTAACATGACATTTATCTGCATGCAAATTATATAAGCTATACTCAGATGCAGTTGGTTTACTACATTCTAAGCAGGGATACATTGGCGCCTTTTCTAGTGAATAGCACATCCTTCTTGTCGATAGCAAGGCCATCCACAAACTTTTTCTTCATTGGAAAGATATTGACAAAAATAAATACCTGTCATTATTGATTATTTTTTTTGAAACTCGTTAGTAATACTATCTTAGGTAAAACTAATTAATTAATATTTTCAAATTAAACTTTTTTCTTAGGTTAATATATCAAAATTGTAAAATATCCTTAGCTACTATAACTACCCAAAGTGAACACAATACACCTACTATGCCGACATATACTGTTTCTACTTCTAAATTATTATTTCTGTATCTGAGCCTAATGCGCTGATCCAAACTCACGAAAATTTGGAGCAATGTTTTAATGTGCTGGAAAAAATGCTGAGAAAGAACTAGAGCAAGAAAATTTTAAAAATTTTGAGCCAGAGATAGAGGAAGAAAATAATAGAGCCTTCTATCACCAGGGCCAAAGCTTTTCCTCAATCACAGATTTCAGAAAATGGGAAAGCAGAACAATTACTTCAATACTTATTCCACTATTTCGGTAGTAATTATTTAGGAATCCCAACTCGCAATGATATAGTTAAAGAAAATGAGAATAGATCGACTTCAATTCTTGAACGAGCCTTAGCTAACTGGAAAAATATACCTTTCATGCCTACTGATATAGAAGAATCTAACGAATATATCAATGGAACCCTCTATTATATCTTATGTTTATATGGCCCACTTATCAATGGTCAGAAAGTAGTGGTAACTATTACAGACATTAAAGTTTTCTTTGATATTCGAATTCCCGACAATAAAGATATATATCTGTTTGAAGGTGAAATAAAAAATATTCTTGCTAATGAAAAGGATGACAAGGAGAAAACTGTAGATGCAGGTAAAATCAGAATAGAGCATATAAAAGCATTTCCAATTCATAGTTATTATACAAAAAAAAGTCATATCTATGAATTTATACGACAAACACTTTCCAAAGAAAGATAGCTTTTAATATTATCCAAAAGCATAACCTGGAAACTGCATCAGATGATCATAGTACATATTACCGCAAAGTCGCTCATGAATACTGAATTTCTCTTATAGGGTGGGGGGTAATAAACAATTACAGTTATGCTAAAAGTTCTTCTCTTTGTTCATATGCATTTAGAGTATTTGTAAAGAATTTTCATTTTATAGAAGACTTAGATGAAATAAGCAATTTATTTTCAACTTCATATATGATACATATTCGAACTCTAGTACTAACATGAGATATAGAAACCCACACAGAACGTGAGGTAGATCAATTACCTCAACCATGGCATTTAGAAGATAATGTATTTATGATTTGTATGACAGTTCACTGGAGAGATGACCCTACTCCACTGAAGCAAATCTGTCTTGTCAATGTAGAAACTGAGCCAGACCCAAATTGGATCACAATCGTATGTAGAAATCAAACAAATTTATCACCAGATATTGTAATAGGTTTCAATGATTCAGACTATGATTGGCCTTTCATTATAGAGAAGGCTAGCCAACTACATATTCTTGAATAGATGTGGTTACAAATGTCTGCGAACTCACAACAAAGTACAAACAAACAGATTTTACATTGGAATTATTATAAAAACATGGAAAAAAGCCCAGGTTTTATGGGACGTTCTTCAGATATTGCTGGAAACAGTCATAAAGTGGTTAAAAAAAATGAATATAAAGAAGAAGATTTTAGTCGGCTAGCAGTAAAAATTAAAATAAGTCTAGAAGAGTTCTTTATTTCTTCTTTTCTGAAGTTGCCGAGATGTGTTCCAATTGATGTTTGTGCAAGTTTCAAAAAACTATATCTACAATCTGAAGTGCAAAAAGGAAGCTCACTCAAGTTTTATTTAAAAAATATGTGGTCTCAGACATAAAATTGATATGCCAATAAACTGTATGTAGGATTATTACAAAATAGCAAAAAAAAATAATTCTATAGAGTCTGAAAAACATATGCGTGAGGTAACAGAATACTGCATTATTGATGCTCTACGATGTCAACAGCTTATAGTTAAGCGTAATGTGATAAATGACAATAAAGAAGTTGCATCAATTGCTTATGTTTCTCTATTCGATGCCCATTATTGTACAAATGGAATAAGGGTATATAATCTCTTAGGCCCTGAAGCCTGGAAGCAGAATATACTAATTAGTATGATACCACGTAAAGATGTCGAATCTGGAAAATATCCCGGTGCCCATGTATTTTCTCTGATAAAAGATCTCAATAATAAGTGTCTGGTTACAGGTTTAGATTTCGCATCATTATATCCATCTATTTTCATGACTTACAACTTTTCACCTGAAATGATGATATTAGAGGAAAAAACAGCTACT